ACCCGCTCATGACTCGTGAGACCTATGTAACCTAGGCTCTTATACTAACTTATCACGACACAAAACTCAATCCGTTGTGATAGCGCCTATCGTGGAACTAGGCCAGCCTAAACTCAACAAAATCCAAAACCACAATACAAAATTTAAAACATTTGCGGAAAAACTTTATCATTTAAATAAATTGTTTAAAACATAAGGTGAAATCCATAGTACGATACAACCAGCCCAAAACCAGGGTGTCACAGAGTAGATGATCGTCTAGAGAAATAGCATAGTTTACTATAATGTTTACTGAATACAACTGAAACACAACTAGAATAGAGAAGGAGGGTCAAGATCTACGAACGTCATGCAGATACCTCAACAATCTCCAAAGCCTGCAACCTCGGTCAACGATTGCCACTGGAACCGAAAGTACCTGGATCTGCACACAAGGTGCAGGGAGTAATGTGAGTACTTCCAACTTAGTAAGCAACGAAAATAAATAAGGAACTGAGAAGCAGTGACGAGCTATGCAAGTACAGTTTATTTCAGTAAACTTCATCAAGAAATAGGCATGCTTTCAAATTCAGCAGTTTAAACCAAATCAGTTTGTGCCCAAGTACTAGATAATAAGTCTTTCAGAGAGTTACATAATAGGTACAGGAAACAACTAATAGCAACAACAATGGAAAGTGAGTACAGTCTCTCAAGACACAGTCACTCAACTCATCTCAGCAGCTCAATCACTAGGCTCTCAGCCCTCAATGATCATACTCAATAAGTACCTACACTCACTGGGGGTGTGCAGACTCCTGAGAGTCTCCTTCAGCTCAAGCACTATAATCCGCACGAACAACTCACGTGCTATAGTCTCAATGTCCTCACAATTAGACCCTCGGCCTCACTCAGTCACCAATCCTTCCAGTCTCACGGGCTCTCAGAAATCATTTAAACAACCCAACAGAAGTAATATCATGTATCAACAATGAACAATAAGAGACAGAGGCATAATAAGCAGGAAAAGCTATGACTGAGCACAAAATAGTAATTAGCAGCTAATTTAGCAAGTACACGACCTTGTAGGTCTCAACAGTGCACACATAAGGCCTAAACATGATTTCTAACATGAAGTACAAGCAATTTCCATGAAAACAGAGGGAACATGTATTAATCAGTAGGACAATTGATTCCACAGTCTCACGGGACAGATCAAGTCACAATCCCTACGGTATACGCCCACACGCCCGTCACCTAGCATGTGCGTCACTTCCCAAATAGTCATACGACACGGTGTTCGGGGTTTCATACCCTCAGGACCAGATTTATAATCGTTACTTACCTCAAACCGATTAAATTCTCTACTCTACGATGCCCTTGCCTCTCAAATCGGCCTCCAAATGCCTCAAATCTAGCCATAAACAATTCGATACAATCAACACGAGCTAAAGGAATCAATCCCATAAGAAAATGCTAAGCTTAAGGTCAAAAGTCAAAAAGTCATCTCAAAAGTTAGGACCCAGGCCCACATCTCGAAACACGACCAAAGTCACAAAATCCAACAACCCATTCGATTACGAGACTAACCATATTAGTTTTACTAAATTCCGACTTCGAATCCGCTTCCTAATCCCAAAAGTTCATTTTATGAAATTCCCCAAATTTTCCCTAAATTTCATCCCAAATCACTAATCAAATAATGAAATCAATGATAGATTCATGAGTATTAGCCAAAACTGAGTTAGTATTACTTACCTCAATGATTTCCTTGAAAAACTCCCGAACGCCTTAAACCGAGCTCCCAAAGTCCAAGATGTGAAATAAAACCCTAAACCTCGCTTATATAGTGCTCTCTGAACTTCCAGTCCGCGGTCCGCATATTTCTCATCGCGGCCGCACAATCACTACCGGGTCATCGAAATTCCATCGCGGCCTCGAGTTTTGAGCCAACCTCTACCGCGGTCCGCAAGATTCCCACCGCGACCGCGAATCCTGAATCAACTCCTTCCGCGGTTCTGCGAAATTCGCATCGTGGCCACATTCTCCTACCGCGGTCCGCATAATTCATACCGCCGTCGCACTTCCAATGATCCGATACCTGCAACTTTTCCAACACCAGGTATCAGGTATTTTCCCAACTTCCTAGGCCAAATAGTGATCCGATAACCACCCGGAACTTACCCGAGACCCTCAGGGCCTCGACCAAACATACCAACACACCCCATAACATCATCCGAACTAAGTCGAATCTTCGAATCATTCAAAATAACATCGAAATACCCAAATCACCCTCGAATTCAAGCCTATTAACTTCTAAACTTCCAAAGTTCACAAATGACGCCGAACCCTACCAAATCACTTCCGAATGACCTAAAATTTTTGCACACACATCACAAATGACACTATGAACCTACTCCCACTTTCGGAATTCCATTCCGACCCCGATATCAAAATTTTTACCGTCGGCTCAAAATCTCCGAATTCCAATTTTTGCCAATTCAAGCCAAATTCTACCAAGGACCTCCAAATCATATTACGGACGCGCTCCTAATTTCAAATTCACCTAACGGAGCTAACAGAATCATCAGAATTTCCATCCGAGATCGTTACCCATAAGTCAACATCCGATTGACTTCTTAATAGGAGGCTAAGTGCCTCATTCCACTCTAAAACCACTTTGGACCCTAATCAACCAACACGATACGATAAAACACAGTTGAAGAACACAGAAGAAAGCAGAAATGAAGGAAATAGGGCTATAACTCATGAAACGACCGGCTGTGTCGTTACAATATCATTGCCTTCTTATTACGGTAGTGTTGAAGCTTGATATTANGATTGTAAAGAACTTAACAAAACTTAAAACCCAAAGAATTGTCGAGTACTATGCTATAGTACTTAAGAAATATTAAATCCTTTTTATAAATGCAAAAAATAATCATTTTTATATCACAACATTAGTATTCTTTAAAAAACAAATTAATTACTGAAGAAAGTTATATTTGACTAGTACATTTTTTCAGACAAATTAAGAATAAAATTTACATGTCGTGGTCTTCAAATAGTTTAACTAATTTTAATTGATTTATCTAATGTCATTTCAAAGTTTGAAATTAGAGATTTTAAATTATGCCATTTTTGTCAACCTTTGACAATCATCTTGACCAGGAATGGAGGCAAAAGGTGCACTAGAATAACTTTGGAGGAACTTTCTACTTTCTATTTTGGGAGTTGAGCTGGGATTCTTGAAAATTCTTAAGCATATATATAATTTTTGTAATACTAAAAACGTATATTTATCTTTCTTTTTTTTCCTCCTCCAACAAATTAATACTAGTATATAAATTATATTGTTTATGTTGTATGTATTGGTTTAGTGAGTTATGATATAATGTTTTCATTGAAAGTGTGACATGATACGAGTATTTTCAAATGGACGTGAGTTAGCATTTCAGATTTTCACTTCATTTGTCCTATTTATATTAAACCCACAAAATGAAAATACCCGTATTTATGTTTATACACTTTCATAAATTTCAAGAATTTAGACAAAAAGATTTAGCTTTAAAATTTTGATATGGTAATTTTGTACGCTATTTTAAAACTATTATGTTAATATTTATCCTCTTTTTTAAATTTCACAAAAATAAATACATAAAATATTTATTTGTAATTTTTGTTTTTCTTTTAATAATTACATTTTAAAATACTTAGTTATGGATATACCTCATAGGGGGTATAATTAAGTGTATGATTTTTATAATATAGGGGGTGTCAGTGTTTGATCTTAAAATACAAAAGGGTGTATCCGAAACTGAATCGTATTATATGGGTGTTTAGTATAATTAACACTATTATATATAAGTAATATTGATATTTAAATCTCCGCACTTAATTAAATACTGTCTCGTAAAATTAACGTCTATGTGTACTGACAATAATGTAATATTTTTTTAACCTTGTTATAATAGGTAATTTGTATTATTTTTGAATTGATATCTCTTTTTTAATGAAAGGTTACATATAATTATCATTTAGATGATAAGAGCGTGCATAAATTCATTAACAATATCTAACATATAGAGGGATGAAGTAGTACTATTAATTTTCTAAAAAATGAGAAGCAAAAAAGGAATATTCTTCTATGTCGGCCTCTAGCTTAGCTAAGAACTCAACGCCGACTGACAAACAACTCCTAAAGCGGCTCTAATTTTTTCTCTCTAAAATATTCTTATCCACATATAATAGATCTCCCTTCACACTTACTAATACTGCTGTCCTTTATTCTCTTCACATTTTGTCCAAAAGAAATAATGACAAGTCAACAATAAAAAACAATGTTTTCATCAACAAGATTAATCTCTCCTTCTTACACGCAAGCAAAGATGGATCTAGAATTTGCGGAGATACATGAACAAACTGTTCAACTAGTGCCACCCAGGGGCGAATTTATAGGTAAATATATGGGGCACTTGAACCTATTATTTTTCCATCAAACTAAGTATTTTATGTATATATTTTTTAGAATTGGTCTAGTATTATCTGCTGACACTCATGCTCCAAAAAGGCTAAATGGTGCACTTGGTTGAATATTGAATTATTTACCTAAAGGACTACGAATCGAATCTCACTTAATACTTTTTTTTTCCTCCTTTTTTAATAGTGCACTCATATTATAAAAATCCTATATCCGCCTATGATGTCACCATCAAACTTTTGATTTTAACGGTTATAAGTAAATTATATCATCGTTTTTAATATATATAGACAAATATTTTAAAAAAAATTGCCGATGTGTGACCTCTATCTCCTAGCATAGGTCCGCCAACTTGGAGAGAAGAATACAAATTAAGGAAGCTCATGAGCTGACTAGCCGACTCTATATTCTTGTCTTTATTATTTTACAAAAAAGTTTGACTTTACTTTTTTGTTTTTTTGTTTTAAGTAAATTTTCAACTCCCAACTTAGGTTAGTCTAAGTCTCTATATATATAACGGTTGGTTCAAGAAAGCCTAAAAAAGAGGGGGTTAGCTGGTTGGTATAATTAGTTTGTTCATCTTGTCAACTTTCTTGAAAAGCAAAAGTTTTTAATATTTTGTTTTCCTCTTTTTGAATCTTGAAGTTTGATTCAAACTTCTCATTTTATAGAATACTCTGTTAAGACTTTTTAGTTAGTATAGTATACTAGCTATATACTAGATTAACTTTTTTTTTTTTTATTTATAAAGTCCCTTAATTTAGTGAAGTTTTGTTACATGTGTATACTCAAGGTGGCAAATTTTAGAAACAAAGCCATTTATAAGCCAATAAGAGATGATGTGATGTTTTCTGGGATTAATAGAGAAGAGGAGATGTCTGTGATGGTTTCTGCACTGACGCGTGTCGTGAGAGGTGAAGATAAAGTATTGAGTCAAGGTGAAGGATGTGATATTGGTGCAGCTAATTCTGGGGTTTCTCCTTCTTTGTATTCAATTTCTGGAGGTGTTGGAGAGAAAAGAGGACGAGAAGAGCAAAGTGAGCAACTGTTCTTGGCTGATATTAGGTCATCAGGTATGCAAATCTACCATAAGTAAATTGCTGCAACTCATTGTTCTTTATATAATTGGTTGTTTTTCTTGAGCCGAAAATCTATTGGAAATAGACGTTCTACCTCTACAAGGTAGGGGTAACGTCTGTGTACATACTATTCTTCCTAAACTTCACTATATTAAATTAGATTACACTGGGTATGTAAGTCATTGTATATAACAAACTCCAACTTATAGTTAATTTGGAACTGATCACTCTTAGTTGTCATTGCATTTTACTACCGCAATGACAACCTAGATGCGCAGTTCCAAATTAGCTGGAGTTTGCTGTATAAATTCTTAATATAGATCGTGTCGTTTCATTTGGATCCTCATCTAAAAGTTCTTCATATTTTCTTCGGACATAAATATATCTCTAAATAAACATAAAGACAACAAACAACGAACCCAACGTAAATACACCATTAGTCGAGATTGTACGATTAGTCTTTTAATTTTATGACGAATAACTTTCCTTCTCGCTCTTTTCACTACTGCACCTCTTTTAAACACTGTTACGACGATTGTACCTTGATTGAGTCGAGAGTCTATCGAAAACATACGCTCTACCTTCATAAAGTAGGGGCAAGGCTACGTAATAGCCTGCCGAGACCTACTTATGAAATTACACTGGATTTTTCTTTTTTGTTGTTGTAACTTCCTTTCTCCTAATATTTTTTTTCATGGAATGCATTATGTTAATAGGTGGAGAAAGTTCAAATATTAGGACTATTGCCAGCAACACACCAACAACAGAATCAACATTCACATACATTACTCCCACATATGGAGAAGGAAATATTAATCATCAACCAAGAAGAAGATATAGAGGAGTTAGACAAAGGCCATGGGGAAAATGGGCAGCAGAAATTAGAGATCCATATAAAGCTACTAGGGTTTGGCTTGGTACTTTTGACACTGCTGAAGATGCTGCTAGAGCTTATGATGAAGCTGCTCTTAAATTTAGAGGCAGCAAAGCTAAACTCAACTTCCCAGAAAATGTTAAACTCTTGCCTACTTCTTCAACTCACGAACAATCACAATTGAAGTTATTCCCGCATCAAAACGCTGTTGGTAATCTGGGATTACCAACGAGCACATTTCCAACGGATTACGTCGAAAATACACGTGTTTCATCTTTTTCTAATAATTATCCTATAATTCACACTCAACCTAATTATTACTATAATAATACTAACATAAACCCTCAAATTTTCTTGAATGATGATTTTCAAAGGTTACAACCACCTTCAAGTTTGTTAAACCAATTCCAGTACTCGTCATCTTCTTCATCATCGTTGTCTTCTTCTTCTCAACTGCCTTTTCTTCCAAGAATGTTTTTTCAGGGTTCTCAGCCTCCCCAGAACAGTGGAAATGATTTTCGGGCTACTTCGTCGGATTCAACTTATGATCATCCTTCTTCTTCTTCTAGATAATTTAGCAGCTAGGGTTTTTTGTTTGTCACTTCAATGTGATTTTTGATGAATGGATTGTAAATCAGAATCGGCTTGCATTTTGCATAGTGATCGGTCTAGCTGAGCAAGGTCAACTTTTCCTATTCTGCTAATTTTGTTGGGATATATCTTGAGTGAGAGCTTATAAAGTGAGAGTTATTTCTGGAAATTTCTTCTTGTAACGTCAAAGAAGAATATAAAAAGACGATGATTGATGATGATGAAACGAATATCAGAACAATGTATCTTTCATCTTAGTTTATGTGAATAATATTTGGTAGGATACTAAACCTCATAGTTTCTAATCCGCAGACTATAGCACGCGAAAATTTAGGAATCGTGCTGCATGCATTCCTGTTTTATGGCCCTAAAATGTCATCAAATGAGGAACGGTCATGGCAAAACGATATATTATACATCAGGTTGTTTTTTATATGATCCCGCAAAATTTTATGCGATTCTGAGCTGGTCGACAAAATTCATGCAGATGGTGTGGACTATACCACACGAAAATCTGGGAATCGTGCCGAATTCCTGTTTTATGGCCCTGAAATACCAAAAAAAAAAGAACGGTCATGGCGAAGCGATGAATTTTGTTCATTAGGTCGTTTTTTATGGTCTCAAAATTTTAGGTGATTCGGAGCCAGTCGCCCGAATTCATGCAGATGGCGCGGACTATAGCACACGAAAATCTAGAAATCATGCTGAATTCCTGTTTTATGGCCCTACAATACCAAAAAACGAGGAACGGCCATGGAGAAGCGATGACTATTATTCATTAGGTCGTTTTTTGGTCCCGCAAAATTTTAGGCGATTCGAAAGCGGCCACCGAATTCATGCAGATGGCATGGAACTATATCACACGAAATTCTAGGAATCGTGTTGAATTCCTATTTTATTGCCCTAAAATGCCAAAAAACGAGAAACGGTCATGACAAATTGTTCATTAGGTCGTTTTTTATGATCCCGTGAAATTTTAGGCGGTTCGGACTCGGTTGCCCGAATACATGCAGATGGCGTAGACATCGCACACGAAAATCTAGGAAGCGTGCTGAATTCCTATTTTATGACCCTAAAATGATTAAAAAAAGAGGAGCGGTCATGGTGAAGCGATGATATTGTTCATTAGTTTATTTTTTATTATCCCGCAAAATACTAGGAGATTCAGAGTCGCTCACCCGAATTCATGCAGTTGGTGTGGACTATACCACATGAAAATTTGGAAATCAAGCTGAATTCCTGTTTTATGGTCTTAAAATGTCAAAAATTGAGGAACAGTCATGGCAAAATTATGACTATTGTTTATTAGTTCATTTTTATGGTCTAGCAAAATTTTAGGCATTTCGGAGCCGGTAGGCCGAATTCATGTAGATCGCGTGGACCATAGCACATAAAAATCTGGGAATCGTGCTGAAAAATAAGAAATGGTCATAGCGAAGAGATGATCATTATTCATTACGTCGTTTTTGATGGCCTCGCAATATTTTAGGCAATTCGGAGCCGGTCACTCGGATTCATGCAGATGGCGTGGACCATCATAGCACATAAAAATTTGAGAATTGTGCGGAATTCCTGTTTTATGCACCATAAAATGTGAAAAAATGAGGAACAATCATGGCGAAGCGATGACTATTATTCATTAGGTCATTTTTATGGTCCCACAAAATTTTTGGCAATTCGAAACCGGTCGCCGAATTCATGTAGATAGCGTGGACCACCACACATGAAAATATTGAAATCCTGCTAAATTCTTGTTTTAGGGCCCTATAGTGCCAAAAAACTTGGAACATACATGAAAAAGTGATGACTATTGTTCAGTGGGTCTTTTTTGATTGTCCTGCAAAATTTTAGGCGATTCAAAGCCGGTCGTCCGAATTCATGCAGAAGACGTGGACTATAGCACATGGAAATCCGGGAATCGTATTTAATTTTTATTTTATGGCACTAAAATGCAAAAAACTAGGAACAGTCATGACAAAGTGATGACTATTGTTTATTAGGTTGCTTTTTATAGTCCCACAAAATTTTAGGCAATTCAAAGTTAGTTTCCTGAATTCATGTAGATGACATGGACTATAGTGCTAAATTCATATTTATGGTCCAAAGTTGCCAAAAAAATGAGGAATTGTCATGGCGAAGCGATTATTACTGTACATTAGGTCATTTTTTATGGTCCCTAATAATTTTAGGCGATTTGGAGTCGATCGTCCCAATTCATGCACATGAGTGGACTACAACATACGAAAATAAGGGAATCATTCTAAATTCTTGTTTTATGGCCCAAAAATGCCAAAAAATGTGGAACGGACATGACGAAGCAATGACGATTATTCATTAGGTCATTTTTTATGGTCCCGAAAATTTTTAGGACTATTCGAAGTCGTGGCGAAGCGATGACTTTTTTTCATTAGGTCTTTTTTATGGTCCCGCAAAATTTAGGCGATTCGGAGTCAGGTCGCCTTAATTCGTGCAGATGGCGTGGAATATAGCACACGAAATTCTGAGAATCGTATTGATTTCCTGTTTATGACCCTAAAATGTCAAAAGACGAGGAATGGTCATGGCAAAGAGATGACTATTTTTCATTAGATTATTTTTATGGTACCGCAAAATTTTAGGTGATTCAGAGCCGGTCGCCCGAATTCAAGCAAATGGCGTTAGACTTCAGCACTCAAAATCTTATTTTATCTGCTAATTTTGTTGGGATATATGTTGAGTGAGAGCTTATAAAGTGAGTTATTTCTGGAAATTTCTTCTTGTAACAAAGAAGAATATAAAAAGACGATGATTGATGATGATGAAACGACTATCAGAACAATGTATCTTTCATCTTAGTTTATGTGGATAATATTTGGTAGGATACCTAACCTCATAGTTTCTAATCCGTGGACTATAGCACGCTTCTAGGAATCGTGATGCATTCCTGTTTTATAGTCTTAAAATGCCAAAAAATAAGGAACGGTCATGGCGAAGTGGTATATTGTACATTAGGTTGTTTTTATATGATCTTGCAAAATTTTAGGCGATTTTGAGTTGGTCGTCAGAATTCATGCAGATGACGTGGACTATAGCACACGAAAATCTGGGAATCGTGCCGAATTCCTGTTTTATGGCCCTGAAATACGCAAAAACAAAGAACGGTCATGGCGAAGTGATGAATTTTGTTCATTTGATCGTTCTTGATGGTCTCAAAATTTTAGGTGATTCGGAGTCAGTCGCCCGAATTCATGCAGATGGCGCGGACTATAGCACACGAAAATCTAGAAATCATGCTGAATTCCTATTTTATGGCCCTACAATACCAAAAAACGAGGAACGGTCATGGAGAAGCGATGATTATTATTCATTAGGTCGTTTTTTTGGTCCCGCAAAATTTTAGGCGATTCGAAGGCGGCCATCGAATTCATGCAGATGGCATGGACTATATAGCACACGAAATTCTAGGAATCGTGTTGAATTCCTATTTTATGGCCCTAAAATGCCAAAAATCGAGATCAGGTCATGACGAAGCGATGCCTATTGTTCATTAGGTCGTTTTTATGGTCCCGTAAAATTTTAGGCGATTCGGACTCGGTTGCCCGAATACATGCAGATGGCATAGATATCGCACACGAAAATCTGGGAAGCGTGCTGAATTCCTATTTTATGGCCCTAAAATGATTAATAAAAAAAAAGAGGAGCGGCCATGGAGAAGCGATGCCTATTGTTCATTACTTTATTTTTTATGATCCCGTAAAATACTAGGCGATTCAGAGTCGCTCGCCCGAATTCATGCAGTTGGTGTGGACTATAACACATAAAAATTTAGGAATCATGCCGAATTCCTGTTTTATGGCCTTAAAATGTCAAAAATTGAGGAACGGTCATGACGAAATGATGATTATTGTTCATTAGTTCATTTTTATTGTCTCGCAAAATTTTAGGCAATTCAGAGCTGGTCGCCTGAATTCATGCAGATGGCGTGGACCATAGCACATAAAAATATGGGAATCGTGCTGAAAAATAAGAAATGGTCATGGCGAAGAGATGATCATTATTCATTATGTCGTTTTTGATGGTCCGCAAAATTTTAGGCAATTCGGAGCCGCCCGCTCGGATTCATATAGATGGCGTGGACCATAACACACAAAAATTTGGGAATCGTACGGAATGTCCGCAAAATTTTAGGCAATTCGGAGCCGCTCGCTCGGATTCATATAGATGGCGTGGACCATAACACACAAAAATTTGGGAATTGTACGGAATTCCTGTTTTATGGCCATAAAATGTGAAAAAATGAGGAACGGTCATGGCGAAGCGATGACTATTATTCATTAGGTCATTTTTATGGTCCCGCAAATTTTTTGGCAATTCGGAACCGGTTGCCCGAATTCATGCAGATGTCGTGGACCACTGCACATGAAACTATGGAAATCTTGCTACATTTCTGTTTTATTGCCCTATAGTGCCAAAAACTTGGAACGAACATGGCGAAGCGATGACTATTTTTCAGTAGGTCTTTTTTGATTGTTCTGCAAAATTTTAGGCGATTCAAGTCGATCGTCTGAATTCATGCAGATGACGTAGACTATAGCACATGAAAATCCGGGAATCGTGTTTAATTCCTGTTTTATGTCCCTATAATGCCAAAAAAAAACTAGGAACAATCATGACGAAGTGATGACTATTGTTTATTAGGTCGCTTTTATGGTCCCACAAAATTTTAGGCAATTCGAAGTTGGTTGCCTGAATTCATGCAGATGACGTAGACTAGAGCACATGAAAATATGAGAATCGTGCTAAATTCATGTATTATGGTCCAAAGTTGCCAAAAGATGAGGAACTGTCATGGCGAAGCGATTACTGTTGTACATTAGGTCATTTTTTATGGTCCCGAATAATTTTAGGAGATTTGGAGCTGATCGTCCCAATTCATGCACATGGGTGGACTACAACATACGAAAATAAGGAAATCATTCTAAATTCTTGTTTTATGGCCCAAAAATGCCAAAAAATGTGGAACGGTCATGACGAAGCAATGACTATTATTCATTAGGTCATTTTTTATTGTCCCAAAAATTTTTAGGCGATTCGGAGTCGTGGAGAAGCAATGACTTTTTTATTAGGTCTTTTTTATGGTCCCGCAAAATTTTAGGCGATTCGGAGTCGGTCGCCCCAATTCGTGCAGATGGCGTGGAATATAGCACACGAAAATCTGAGAATCGTATTGATTTCCTGTTTATGACCCTAAATGTCAAAAGACGAGGA